AAACACTACGAATTCCTTAGGGTGGTGCCAGTCTCATCCTCTTCGCTTTCCCACACTCAGGCTGGGGGCTGAGGAGATGCTTTTCTCCATGACCTTGAACCTCCATCACAGAAGGGCACAATTGGGGATTCTGATCAGACAGGGCCTCCCAGTTATGCTGGGAGTTCAGTTCACCTTCAGGCACACAGAGACCCCTTTTAGGCCTTGCCTGGGGACAGTAGCCACAGGGATGTTGGAGACATGGTACTAGCAGGTGTGATTTTATGCTTCTTACACAGGTTCAGGTTTTCTGCCCAAGCATAATATCTAAGTATAACTATAATAATGGTTCTCAAACCAGAGAAAGACTTGATTTTTCAGGCAAGCTAGAAGTACATATGTTGCAAAATATGCTAGCCCCAGGCCTGGCTGCTCCTAGAATCAGAAGCTCACTTAGCTTCTCAACCCTGCTAGATGGTAGCAGGTAGGATATCCAGTTTGTTTTGAGTCTACACATTTCTCTCTTTTGTGACCCTAGCATGATGGGACCTCCTGATCCAGGAAAGGCCATAACTGGAACACAAGAGGGCTAGTCTCACAATTACATTTCTTTAAGCATTCTCTTGCATGCAGCCTAAATACAGCAATGATCTATAGCACATTTGCATTGCCACAATAGTAAATTTAAGTTACATATACAGGAGCCAATGACTTCAGCTAAATGTAACATGCACTAAATGAAGCCTTGTACAAATAGCTTTTGCAGCCCTATTATTTTTTAATTGACCCTCTTTTTACCTTTATTTTTCTAGATGTGTTTATAGGCATTTCCACATAGGGATTAGGTGCAACTCTCACAGTCCCTGACGACAGCCTTCTTCTAGCTCAGCTGCCTAAATACTCAAAACACAATATTGTGTATGTGCGTATGTGTATGATTTAAGACATTTGATTCCATGGGGCTGATGGTTGAGCCACTTTCCATTGCTGGCGACTACCACTAATCCTTATCTCTCAGCATCACGGCTCTCCATGCCTCCCTTTTCAGCTGTGCAAGTAACATACTGTAGTCCTTTGGTGCCTTGAGATCAAGCCTGAATGACAGTGGGGCTTTTTCCTGCAACCAAACAAGAGAGTTGAAGGTAGAGGAGGAGAGAGTCACAGATTTATCTGCGCTCTCTCATTGTCCCGATAGTGGGAGCACAGATTGACTCTGGCCATTCCCCAAATGAGTGCAGTCAGGATGATTGATCCTGGCTGTTGCAGAAATGGCTCTGAAGTTTAGGAGTGTTTGGGAAGCAACCCTGGTTGTGTGGAAGTGCCCCAGGTCTTAATTAATGCTTCTTCTACAGAAGGTAGAAAGATGCATTCGCACCCTAAATATGGATAGTAGGTTCATAGATCTGAAAGCACTAAACACTCAAATGGGGTAAAAAGCTGAATGATTTACTTGCACAATGCAAAACAGGTTTACCTTGAAGTTTATCCCTAGGAGGGTTTCTAAAGCTTATGTAGTATATTATTGCAATTGCTCATACTTCTAACCAGACCCATTTTTTGTTTATACTTCTTACCTATCAGCTCAGAAAAGTTTATATTAGACGGGATCAGCCCATATATTGAACCCTCCCTGCATATAGGTGGCTGACCTTGAAACTGGCAGAATAAGGAAAGAGATGTCACTCTTGAGCTAGGCTGAATCAGGAGGTGAGAAAGCAGCTAATGGAGAGGAATAGCTGGGGATGTGATGGGGAGAAAGAGAGAGAGAGAGCTCAGAGGCTTGCTTTTAAAATCTAAGGCCTTAATAAGCCATATCACACACAAGAATACAGAACAGAAGCCCTTTTATATATGAAAACACAGAAGAAAATGGGACCTCTAAAGTGTAGCTATGGAACTAATTTTCCCCACCTTAGGATTTGTTTTTTAAGGTTAAAATACATTATAAACTGTCATACAATTGTTTCTTGCCAGATTTTGATGCCAGAGCTGGCTTCTCTCAGAATTGTAGCTTTGGAGGAAGGCGGGAAGTTCATTGGTCACCGCATCATCCCAGTCACTGCTGTGTGCTCTGGTAAGACTTGGCCATTTTTCTGGCCAATGAACTTGACTGTCTTTTTTCATAACAGCCTTTGGGTAGCTTCCCATGAATCCTGATGCCCTTCATAGAGCCAGAGGAGAAGGCTGGCTCAATAGGCGGGGTCGAATGTTATCCAAAGCTGTCTTTGTGCATTCCTCAAAAGGGTAAAGAGCTAAAATGGGATCTCCTTGTGAGAGCTGGAAAATCTGAAAACCTTTCATTCGTGTCTAATTGATTACAAATGGAAGTAGCCTTACGGTGCTTTAACCCTACTCAGGGCTAAAAGATCTGAAACTGAGGAGGCAAACAACTGTACGAAATAGGAATAATGTGTGTCACCAGACTCCTTCCTTTTTTTTCCTCCATGTATTTCAAGGAAAGCACAAAGAGAGCTCAAATTCTTTAGGGAAGCATATGTAGATTGTGAAGAAAGGCTGAAGGATTTCTTTCACTCTCTTGGTATCCAGCTCTCCAGAGTTTAGGTATTTCATCATAGGTGACATTTGTGAACTTCTTTGGTGTGAAACTGGTACACAGTTTACAAAAGCTGAAATAATATGATATTGAAGAACCTACAATGATACTGTTTTTCTGTGCAGGCACATTGTCCTTCTCACTGTAACATCCAGTTTGCCACCTCTATATAATGTATTTTCCTACTGGATTCATGTACTTTCTTTTTTAGGCTATCACCACGTTTGCCTTCGTAGTGAGAGCAACAGGCCCCTTACAATGCCTTCTCTCTTTGTCTACGTGGAGATGAAAGATTATGTTCCTGATTCATGGGCAGGTACAGTGTTCTGAAGATGAAAGAAAAGGATACCTGTACTTCAGTGGCAGCATTTTAAAAAAGAGAAGAAAGTGAACTTCGCTGTCTATTGCTATTAGCCTTGGTCTGCTTAAAGATGGAATTGTTAATTGAATTAGCCTTATTACTTTCAAAAGGATCATGCTATTTTTTAAGCAAAGGCCTGATGTTTATTGGCCAAATAGAATAATCTACAATATCTTCTGGATGAAGGATATTGAAAAGATTCTGTTAGCTAAAATTGTGAAATAAGCGAGGCACTGGATGAGGTATTTTTAGGCAGATATGAGTGTCTTAGGCAGCCTTTAGTAAAGATGACAACCTTATAGTAACTGTTACCAAAAGATGATAAGTGTAGAGGGTCTAAGGAATGGCCATGAAAGACAGGAGGAATAGCTGCTACCGAGGCAATGATCAGCCAAGCATGGCTTAAGTCCATTCAAAGAAACTAACTTGAGAAAATGTCTCAGGCCTTTCCCTAATGCACACAAAGATAAAGTGAGAGAGGAGGGAAGCACATTCAGACTTGCAAGATTCTGGTACTATAGCTGTACCAATATAAGTAATTTTAGACTTTATATGGCATTGGTTTCTTAGTCTGGTCTACCTTATAGAGGTACCTGCAATAAGAACCCAGTCTATCTTGCCATACTTGTAGCAACCACAGTGTGCATTCATCTCCCTTTCAGCTTCTTAGCAGTTTCCCAGGACAAGGATAGGTAATGTCTCCTTCAGGTTGACCTCAGCTTCTGGATTAATTAATTCATATTTCAAATTTGTCACCACCCATCTCACTGCAGAGTTGGGCTGCCCATCAATGCAGCTTTCTTGCCAACAGTGCAGAAGTGAGTAGCCATTGCCTTATTCTGAATGATTATTTATTTTTTCCCAATTGAGCCTACAGACCTAACGTTCTTCAGAGGTCTCCCATCCAAACACTAAACAGACCTGTTCTTATTTGATGTTTTTCCTTTTTTCGCTTTTGTTCTTATTTGGTTCCTGAGCCCAGACAAGGTCAGCCAAACAGGACAAAGACAGGGAAGACTAAATTCTCTTTTCTTGTTCCTTTCCTAGAAGCTAATGTGCTGAACAACTGTTGAATGGCAATCTACACATAGTCACAATATATAGATAGAGATAACCAATATTGCAGCACAGTTCTCAATTATGTCTCTTAGCTGGAGGAGGGTGTATACATCTGTATTAGGGAGAACTGTAATTGGGGGATGTAGGTCACTCAGCATAGTTCTTCTAAAAATACTCAACAATGTTTTGCAGGAAAAATTAGATTTTGTTGCTTGTATAAATGGTACACCTTTGAATGTACTGAATACAGGAACAGTTCAGATTTATCTCACTGCAGGCAGTCTGCAGAAGCTTAACAATCCATTACTACAAATGTGATGTCCTGAAACTTTATTAGTTGATTCAGAATAATAAAAAGCATACATGAAAAGACAAATGTTATTATATTCTTAGTAAAGGAAGTAGCAATCTATCAGTAGGAGATAATGAGATGGTATTGAACATCTTGTTTTTTTAAAAAAATAGATCTCACCATGGCTCTATCCAACCCAATAAAGTTTTTTAATGCACATGATAAAAAGATGAAGAACCAAGATGCTAATAATGAGGTGAGTCCTCCAAATAATGTTTTGTTTGTGTAAAATACTTACCTGCTTTTTTATTATAGCTCAAATCAGGTAGCTAGTGACAAAATTCATAGTTAAACCAGAATTTCCCATGTCAGAGTCTGACATGTCTCTTTCCTTAATAGCAACCAAAGAAAAACAGAGACAGGTTTTTTAAAAAGAAGAAAGAAGAGGGGCCAAAGGACAGAAATTGGCTTTAGCTTATAGAAACATAAGATTAATACTTCTGAATATAGTTCAGTTAGGAACCAGAATATTATCCATATATTCTGAATGTTACAAAGTTATCTGAAAGACAAGAGACACCTAAGAGATTGGAATGGCAAATAGATGATGATGATGATGATGATGATGATGATGATGATGATGATGATGATAATATAAAGACCTGCAAATAGAAGTAGAACGACTGTGGCAAAAGAAAGCAAAGATAATACCAATAGTTATGAGTGCCTTAGGTGCAATCCTAAAATTTCTGGAGCACCACCTGAACACCATCAGCATTGACAAAATCACCATCAGTCAATTGCAAAAAGCAGCTTTACCTGGAACAGCTTATATCCTGCGACGATACCTTTCACACCATCAAACAACACTTGCTTATCCCAGGTCCTTGGGAAGGACTTGATAAGTGGATAAAAATGCCAAATCCAGTCTAAACATCTGGCTGACTGTGCGTCCAACCATAATAATAATAATTTCCACATCTGTGCAATGATATCACACCAACCTATTCTATGCATGCTTAAATGTAGAGGGACTGGCTATAGTTCCCAGTGATAAGCTGAATTGCTGTGTTTCTAGACAGAAAAGTTGACTATTGGTTATTTAAGAATCTACACATTTATAAATACTATAAAGATTCACAGAAATAAGTCAGTCAACATCTGTTAGATGTTTTTAAAAAATCAGATGGAAGATACTTAGCAACCAGCCCTGAAATACAAAACAGTAATCTAAAATATGACCTGCTTCATTAGCCATAATGCAAGGTGTTTCCAAAGGTTTAGGAGACTGAAATCCTTCCTTAGCATTCCTTTTGGAAGTGGTTTATGCAACCAGAGGCATTAAAAGTTTTAAGTCAGTTAACTACTTTGCTAACTAGATCAAATCATTGATTAAATATTGCAGTAACAGTATCCCAACAGGATTCAGTGCCTGGCCCATGATAGGTGGTGAGCATTAGCAGTTCCCACGGCCATTTGTTTTATTTCTGTTCTGCCACAGTGAGTCCCACTGAGTAAGGAATCCAACTTTCTGGAAAGTTTTTCTTTCTCCCATATTATCTCCCTGTCCAACCCTTGAAATCCAAGGAGAGGTCCTGTTCTCTTTCAGCAGGGACAAAGGGCAAGTACCCCCAGCAGGCAAAGGCAATGCAAGATAAAATGTAAAATAAAATAAAGATTTTTAAAATATGGATTTTAAGAAAAAAATTAAATGATTTTTTAAAAACAATTTTCAGGGGAAGGAACAAGTTGAAAAGGAGAATCTAGCCATGCAATAGAGACCTTTAAAAATAAATAATAACCATAATGCAGTAAACCAATATAATAAACTGATAACTGCAATTCAATGTCAAATTTGATTTAAAGAAAATTAGCACTTCCACTTAATTAAAACTGTCCATGTTTTTGAAATATTTTTTCTCCATTTTTATATCACAAACAATTGGAAGTATTACATATTTTAATGTTCTTTAAATGTTGTCCTGCAGCATCCACATGATTCTTCCTCTTCTTTACAGCATCAAGTAATTCCAGTGCTAGACATGGGGTTGGGATGGAGTACACTCACATCAATCTTTTCTTGATCTCCTTGTTTTTCTCTTTTGTGCAGTCATATTTTGATATATCTTTCTTCTGATGCTGTGAATGTAATATTTGTTCAAGTGTGGCAGTACATCACTTTGTTTCTCCTAACTTTTGTAGTAGCTGCAGAAACTAAAGACAGAGCTCAGAAAAAATGATTGTTAATTGAAAATGTCTGCAGCAATTTGTGGCTTCCCTTTTTGCAGCTCTGATAGCAACTGTCATTTGGTCTCCTGCCCAGTTTGTCTAGAAACTTTAGTCTCTCAAAGCTCAGAATTCACCCCTAGGCTGCCCATTTCAGTGCATCAAGAGTGGCCATACACTGACTTGGTGTCACATTGATTTGCTCTTACTTCCAGTGTATCCTTTCCTGAAGGGTTTTGGGAATGCTTATGTATTAAAGGAGCTGGGGACAGATCACCTTTTAGGGTCTGCACTGCTCTGTCATCTGGGGGATGGGGAAGGGGATTTAGCAAAGGACTCAAGGAATGTAGGGCGGTGCAGTGGAATTCTAAAATAGATGAAAACAAACTAACAATCTCTTCTATTTGACCTCTGAAGTATTGTTTACTAATTATATTCACATGGTACCTCAAGTTTTAAACCTGATTAATAAACTACAGTTGCTGTATTCATATAAAACACTGGGAAACCAAAATACCATAGTATGGCTTTATCATATGCTGAAATAAATAAACCATATTATGGATTAATGTGATGGCTTGGTTTAACCCATGTTAAAACAGTGACTTGCTTTGTACAGCTGATTTTACCACAGACTTCCAGCCCATTTTACCCAAGCTGCAAACCTAGCTACTAGGTATTTTGCAAAGCAGAATTAAATTCTTTCTTATCCAAGTTCCCTTTTCACATCAGACAGGAACAAAATAAAAGCCTGGATATATGACAGAGTTAGGGAACAGCTGAAGTTCTGCTTTCTCAGACTCTCTTCTCTCTACTTCTTACTCTGAATTAGACAGTTATTCACACAAGGAGTGAATGTCTCATCAAGTCTTCATCACATTTTATATTCAATAATCAAGGTGCTGTAAAAGGAATTTTCTCAAAGCTAAGAATAAGACAGTACTTAGAAGACACATTTCCATCTTACCTGAGTTATCACAGCTCTGGATTCTGCTGAGCAATTTATTTGGAGGGGTCAATGTGAAAAGCATAGGAAATGTATTAATGTTACATTAACATAAATGTCAATGAGAAAAACATAGGAAATGTATGTAAGCGTACGGAAAAGAGAGTTTGCTGTAGTGGTTAAGGTGTTGGCCTAGAAACCAGGAGACTGTGAGGTCTAGTCCTGCCTTAGACATGAAAAATTGGCAGGGTGACTTTGGGCCAGTCACTCTCTCTCAGCCCAACTCACCTCACAGGGTTATTGTTGTGGGGAAAATAGGAAGAGGAGGGAGTATTAGGTATGTTTGCTGTCTTGAGTTGTATATGAAAAAAAAAAGTGGGATAAAAATCTAAAAAAAAAGTGTGTCTATTGAGGAGGTCATAGGATATTTGGGGCTGTCAGAGAACCAAACAATCAGAGGTCTTCAGTTGAAAGAAGCCAAGTGAATGGAAAAAGAAAAGAACATTTTGCTAGTTGAGAAATTTGGGTTCATATAAAGTTCTCATTAAAAAAAGAGAGAGAGAGAGAGAAATTTGGATTCACCAGCAGGACATTCACATGGGCCACCCTGAAGGGTGATGGTGGAATATTTCCATCATGTTTAATAAATGTACCTTACGACACTTAGGTTTCTTGCTGCTTTCAGGCAGGAATATTAAACTGCCAAAAAGAGTGGTAAAGCGAAATCAGGATGGGATTGGGTGGGAAGCAGCCAGTTGTTTCCAAGTTCTATTTTTGCTTTAACATCAACGTTTCTGCTGATCTTTATTTTATAGACACCCGGTTTGGGAAAGAATCTTTCAATCAATGGGATACCTAACATCGTAGGAAGCTGTTACACTCCTTCAAATGGCCCTGCAGGTAAAGCTGTGGAAAAGATTGGGGCTGAGAATGTGAGAACACATACAGTATAGTTCACATATTGAAAGGAGATGGTATAGCTCTATGTGACAAGAAGTAGGATCAACCCACATCATTGGGACCAGTTGAACCTTCTGGCCATAGTCAAAATCAATGATTATAAAGAAACAAAGTTTTAGTCAACTATGATCTTGTTTTCACTCTCCAGGAACCTTGATCACACCAAAGGAAGGAACCATGAAAGAAGCTGCAAAATTAACTACAGGTAAGAAAGCACCCTCTTTTTAGCAATCTGGCACAATGTCTTATGTAAACAGATTCTACACACACCATCATTACAGAATGTGTGGTGATTCAGCTAGGTTACATTCATAGCAACTTGTGGGCTTTTCCACAATACCCTTCAAATCACATTCCACAAATTTACTCCGGGGTGGGACCTTCATTGGGAAAAAAATGCCATAGGAGTTAAGGAAACCCTCTCCTTATTACAGTAGGAGGAGACTTGAAACCTTTAGTTTTATCCAGGCCCTTTAAAGTTTTTAGAGATTGCTCTCTCTCTCTCTCTCTCTTTCTCTCTCTCTCTCTCTCTCTCTCTCTCATTATGCACAATCAAGTTGGTATAGACCTTTAGCAACCACAAACCGTATATAGATTTTCTCCAGGAGGCTCTGTTCCCAACCTGGCTCTTCAGGATTTCCAATAGCCTTGTCCTGGTTGTCCTCTTCCTCTCTTTCCTTTTACTTTTCCCAGTATTATAGACTTCTCCAGAGAGCTAGGCCTTCGCATAATGTGTCCAAAGTAGGATAATTTGAGGCTAGTCATTTGTGACTTGAGTGAGTCTGAATATTTTTTCCAAAGCCTTCATTGCTACTCTTCCAAATGTTGGTTTGTGGGGGGTTTTTTTTTTTTTTTTTTGACTGCTGGTTCCTTTACTGTTGATATTCACTCTTAAAAGGCAGAAGCTATCCATCACTTCAATATCTTCAGTATTAGTTCTAAGGCTGGTTGCTGTGCCTGTTGCCATTAGTTTGGTCTTTATATTTAATCTTAATCCTATCTTTTCACTGTGTTCCTTGGTTTTCATTACTAGAGCTTCCAGGTTATTTGCGTTTTCAGCTATCAGAGCAGTGTCATCAGCATAGTGCAATTATCCAGCATGCATCAGCAATAAAGTCTTGTGTTCCTCATTCTTTTCTAAAGCCAGCTTGAATTGCTAGCATCTCCCTTTCCATGCAGGGCTCTGCATTGGACTGATCCTAAGCATTATTTGGTTAGCATATGAAATTAAGGTTGTTCTATGATAGTTTGCACATTCTGTTAAGTCTTCTTTCTTTGGATTGTTAAGTAGATTGACCTGTTCCAATCTGCTGGCCCCTGTGTCCTTCTCCAGATTTGCTGGCATAGCTTGGGTAGAAATTTTACTGATTCTTCTTCTTTTGTTTGCCATATTTCTGTAGATACTCCATCAATTCCTATAGGCTTCTGACGTGGAGTGTGTGATTGATAGATAGATAGATAGATAGATAGATAGATAGATAGATAGATAGATAGATAGA